GAGGCAGCCAGACCAGCACGGGGGAAGTGGATACGTGGCTCACCCTGCGCAGAGTACAACCACCGAGCAACCAACAAAATGAAATTTGAAGTGAGCAGCTGGCTTGAGCTGGCCTCGACCCAGGTATTCCTTCCTGGCGATGGTGGTGGAATGTATAGGGACTGGTAATGGGAATCACCTTTGTATTGTGATGCCACTTGCTATAGTGTGCTTGTCTCGCGATTTCAGCATACTGCTCTATCACTCTTCTAAAGCCAAATCACATGTAATGCCTAATATATCAAATAAGTAAATCTGATACTAAACATGAAAAGCTCCCTCTGTGGAACATCCGAAAGAACGTGGTTAGAGAATACTGGACTCTGACATATGTGCATGTGAGAAATGTTTATAAACACGCACAAACATGCTTAAATAAAATCGTAAGTATCTTTTAAGTTGTTCATTTTTTCTCGTTTTTGGTATTTAATGGAAACCTGATTACATAGTGCCAAGTTTCTGGCACAAAATGAAAAATACTTCTAATAAGGCTGAAACAACTTTTTTATCTATAAAGTTCAGAGCTTTAAGCAACCAGATAGAGGTTAACTGTCTTCCTAAGGGGAAAAAATGCAGGAAACCTTTCTAGCAAAATGTATGTTGAAGTTAAGATTGCAATAAATCATTAATGAAAACACTTCTAAGCCTGTCATGGATTACAAAATGACAGCCAGCTAATGGTATCAGTTTGGTCAACAGCTTGCTGTTCTAAGGTTTTTTTTCCTTTTAGCTTCTTCATTCAGATCTGCTTCTTGAAACAAAACTCATTTCAAATCTCATTTTCAAGCCCAGTAAAAAGAAACCCCAACACATTACGAACAGCACGTAGCCACATTTGCTGTGTTTGCAACACTTCACAGACTCAGCTTTTCAAAACTAGAACAGCTCGGGGTGAGCTGCTTTCTTGCCTGCCTGCCGAGCTGCTCAGATCAGCTCAGTTACTCGTGACTCACAGGAAAACGGAAGAATCACGTAAAAACAGTTCTCCGGGCCTGACATGCATTCGTTTAGCAGAGTTAAATGCTCAACACGCTCAACTCCAGATTCTGCTATGATTTTGTTCTTCTGAGCACAACTTGCGTCACCCAAAAGAAATGAACTTTGAGAAATCTACCACGACAGCCAGTATCGTGCTGGCCCCCAATCTCGGTAAGCCAGATTCGAGGTCATTCATCTCAAGCTCCTTCCTTCCAATTGTTAAAACATAGCAGGGTTAAATTGTGCTACTTCATTTCAAAAACCATCTCCCTGCTGCCAGGGGACCTCTCTAGGTGACACCAAAATGAGCAGCGATCGTTCTTCAAACGCAATTCTCAGTCCCTGGAGGGAGAGCCCATGCTTTTCCGCAAGGCAGAAGCAAGAGCTTTCCCAAGCTGGGAGAGGTGGCTGCTTCACCCTGGCTTTGTTGGAAGAAGAAGGGTTGTATTGCTGTATTTTTCCTACTGGGTATGCTTGCAGGATGCTACTGCCAGAGGAACCGTCCCCGAGGAGCTGGTGTACTGTCCCAGAAGGACATCTTGGAGACAAACCCGGTCTGGGGTACATGGATAAGGCTGACCGCTTCAGAGCTGTTCTAAGTACCAGGTAACTCAGCTTGCTGTCAGGCTGTCACGCCAAGTAATCAGTCCATGACTACTGGCTTTCACATGAACAATCTCATTTCTGTTAGAAGCAGGCAGCATTTTCTAGGAAAGGCTGGTGGGAAGTGCTTCTGGGGAGGTCTTTGGGGTTGCCCGAGGAGAGGAGATGGGCGGGATTGAACAACTTTCCCGCATCCTTGGGAAGGGCGGGATTGAACAAATGAGTTTTTGAGCCAGCTTCGCAGGTCTTACAGGTAGGTTTGAGAGGAGTGATTTCAGATTGAGTGTTCAGATTGAGGGGAGTGATTTCGGATTGAGTGTTTGAACTCCTTTCTACACCATAACTGATGCATTTTAGATTTCCAGGAGATGCAACCTCTCATGGCAGCAGCCAGAACTGTTTCTGGATGTGCCAAAGGGAGGCATTTCCTTGGCAAACTACCCACGTATGAAAACAGGGCCTCTCATTTAACTCAATACACAGAGAACCTGAACCACGCGCCACAGCAAGAAAGCACGCTGCGTCAGGAGAGGCTTGCAAAACCTTTACCTTACATTTGCCATATAGTTAGCTGTTTGGTGTAACAAAATACCCCCCCCCCCAAGGATTTTTTTTCACTGCCCCGCACGGCTTTTTTTTCTTTAGAAGCAGGCAGCATTTTCTAGGAAAGGCTGGTGGGAAGTGCTTCTGGGGAGGTCTTTGGGGTTGCCCGAGGAGAGGAGATGGGCGGGATTGAACAACTTTCCCGCGTCCTTGGGAAGGGCGGGATTGAACAACTGAGTTTTTGAGCCAGCTTTGCAGGTCTTACAGGTAGGTTTGAGAGGAGTGATTTCAGATTGAGTGTTCAGATTGAGGGGAGTGATTTCGGATTGAGTGTTTGAACTCCTTTCTACACCATAACTGATGCATTTTAGATTTCCAGGAGATGCAACCTCTCATGGCAGCAGCCAGAACTGTTTCTGGATGTGCCAAAGGGAGGCATTTCCTTGGCAAACTACCCACGTATGAAAACAGGGCCTCTCATTTAACTCAATACACAGAGAACCTGAACCACGCGCCACAGCAAGAAAGCACGCTGCGTCAGGAGAGGCTTGCAAAACCTTTTCCTTACATTTGCCATATAGTTAGCTGTTTGGTGTAACAAAATCCCCCCCCCCCCAAGGATTTTCTGTCACTAGCGCGTATGGCTTGTTCTGCTTTACAGCTAATGGTTTTCTATTAATTCCCCTTTCCTAATTTTTCTGAGTACTGAACTGCAGGAGGAAGCAGGCACTGAGGACAGGTTGCATTTCTTTGATTTCCAGAGGAATTCCATATTGCGGATTGAGGAAGGTGTTCAAATACAAGTCATGCACCTAGATGAAGTTCATAGGTTTAATGGAACTTTTGACCTCCTATTCCAGATGCATTTTTCTCATTGAGTTTAGTATTTGGTTAGGAACATTCCAGCATTGTTAAATGGCAGGTTTTGATTTATTTTTTTCTTCTAATACTTTATTCTTACCTGCATCCGCTGAAACAGATCTTCAATATTCTGAAGTGACATAAGTGCTAGACTTGATCCTGGCTTATTTTTTTCATCCAGCAGTCACAGAAGAGAATTTTAGAAATAGCACGCTGAAGCCAGTGTAACCACTTACTGCCTTCAATGTATATTGAGCTTCAACGTGAAGGAAGACAGACTGCCTAATGTTTTAGTCATACACTTATTTACAGAACTGTTATTTGGAGCAAAAAGGCAGGTGATGATTTTACTGTTAAAGCTTGATAGCAACTAAAGTGACATAAAATAGCTGTGAAGGCATTCTCAAAACATCTGCTTA